TTCAATTTTATTTTTTATTTATTTTTTTATTTTATTACCAGCTCTCTTTAGAGAAATATATCAATGAAAAAATAGTTTAAAATAGAACAATAGAACTTATAAAAAAGAAAAAGAAAAAAGAAATTTGTATAAATTTAATGATACCCAGTTTCACTCCCCACTTAAGCTATAATTTTGCCTTTTCTTCTAAATTTATCAAGATTGATCATTTTTGTGCCAGTCAGGATTAAACTGACTTTTAATTATATACATATGTATTTACACTACAGTAGTACTTCGGTAGCTTGAAATTGAAGAGGCTTAAATTATATACAAACTGAATACTAATAATATTCCAAGAAAAATGATTAACAAAATGAACTAATAATTTATTTTTTGGTTTGAAAATCATTCCCAAGCGTCGAACCCATTGCCATTCAAATATTATATTTTAATACTATACCACTTTCTCGAAAAGCTGCATATCCATAAATGCGAGATTATTATTGTTAAGCTGAAGTTGATCTACAGAAGAAAACGTTTTAATTAGCGGGCTGCCAGTGTATTAAGTATGTCTGTATATTTATATACTTGCACCTGCTCCGGCGGCATCCTTTGGTTGTGTCCCATAAACGTAAATCTCTCGAAAGAATGCCTCCGTAGCGACCGCAAGTATGCAACACTTTTTTCTCGCCGCCTGCTCGACGGTTATTAACTTCGCCCTTAGGGGCGTGTGCGTGTGTGTGTGGGTGGGCGGGGCTGCGTTTCGAGTGATGAACTTAATAATAAACGATGTAAATATGATAATTTCTCACAGGATGTGGCATCTAATAATAAAATCAAAATAATCCCCGCCAAGCGCCAAGCGCCGAGGCGCAAAAGTCGCAAAGTCAGAAAAGTCAACACGAGCGAAAAGCAGGAGTCAGGACTCCTGCCAACTGACAACGGCACAGCGGGCGGTGAAATCTGTGGGTGGAGTACAATGATAGTCGGTCGGTCGGTGGGTCGGTTGGCTAGCTAGTCGGGTGGGGCAGGAAAATATTCAATTCGTTGCATCCTTCCTGAGAATTGACATTGGTATATGTTAAGGAGTCGCTGTGTCTCTGCCAGTTTAATTGATTTGTTTTTTATGCCAAAGAGGATTACATGTTGTTCTGCCAGAGCTTACAGCTGAACTACAACCAAAGCGAGTGGGAGAGTGAGAGAGTGGCGGGGGAGGGGCAGGCGCTGAGCTGGGCGAGGGTTGAGTGGCTGCACGTGGCCTTTTGTGACTTTTGGTCCAGCATTTACCACCAACTGCGCAGGTGAGCTGCGCCTCGGCATTGCTCGCGTCTAGATTGCTATACATCTATATAGCATCCCATGCTATATATGTACCTATGTGTGTTTGTGTGTATATATATATCTTTTGATATAGCGCATGGAGCAGTGGGCGCCGCTTTGTTTGGCAGCAGTTGCCACATGGAGTTCGCCCGAAACAGTTCGCACTTTTGCGCTCTGACCTTAAATAAATATAAAGAAAAAAATTATAAATAAATTGTACTTCGCTTAACAAGAATTACGAACAAATATTCAGCTTTTAATAAATATATAAAGTGAAGCAAAGACATAAAAGAAAGCCAGATCACATACACAGAAAAATAAATAATAATAAAAGAAATAATTGCAATTTGGGTCAATTCCGCGCAAGCAAATATTGAATATATATATTTTTTATACAATTGAATTTTTCTGGGAATATGTCGCTGTAAAGTTTCTTGTGTTTCCATACGATAAAGTGCTTCAGTTCCACGCACAATGAGCGTCAGCGTCGACGTCGGCGTCATGTGGCGCCTCTCGGAGGATTTGAATAGACGCTTCGGGCTGCGCATGCAGCCTGCACCGCCGGCAACACATCATCCGCACCACCATACGACCGTGCATCACTATCACCATCAGCACCACCATCATGGCCATGCTGCTGGCACCACGCATAGCGGACATAGCTCCATGATCTTCAATGGTAAAACATTTGGCATTTCCGGACACGAATTGGCATAATAGAAATACCAAAAGCTTGATAGAATTTGAGGAAGCAAATTCCGATCTCTTGCTTGCTCACTTGATCTCGCGCGCTCTCTCTCTCTCTTTTCACGTTTGTCGCTCTCTTTCTGTCTCTTTATTCGTGCGCGTCTTTTAGCAGAACTGTCTTCTCCTGACCATGAGTCACCTGGAATTATGTTGATTGCAGCCGACAATTTTTGTATATGAGGGGAACTTTTTGAATACCCTAGGCAGATAGCAAATTGATACGTTGATACGTTCGATATATATATATATATATATATATATATATATATATATATAGTATAGATTGCCTAGTTTTTAGATTGATAAATTGATACATTCGATTCATGTTGAATATCATAATAAAGTATACTATATCATGTTTTATGAATGACAAAAAGTTAACGTTTTATATATCGGAGTGTAAATCATAGTACGGCAGAGTCGAGTACACAGTGAGCATAGTATATAGTATCAGTATTGATCAGCAATAATGCAAAATTGTTGTCTACGTTCGTCCGATCTTAATGGTGCTACCCAGCTTAGAAATTTTTTTAAGATGTACAAGCGTATATTTATTATTTTAATAAATATCGCACTCGTTTAAAATAGATAAATGTCAATTAGATATTTACATATCTAAAAGTTCGAAATAAATGTCTGTACATATATTTAATATCTTTTTGTTATGAAGCAGTTGCATATATACTTGATTAATAAATCTTACCTCAATCTGATTATTTACTTTAATTAAATTTTGTTAATTTTCATTGATTAATTAAGATTCAATAGAAAGTTAGTAAAAAAAAATATGTAGACAATTAAATGCTATTAATTATAAGTATTAATTTAATTAATATTAAAATTTATTGTTTTGCAGGACAATAATAATTATTTCAGTGAATACTCGAATAGTCTTAAAAATTCCCAGCTTTGTTTTAGGTCTATGAAATCAAGTTTACAAATCCTCTAGCTGTTAGTTAGCTACTCAATTTTACAGTTCAGCTGGTATAGGGTATCTTTAGCCTAGTTGGCCGTTGGCACCTGCTTGGGAGCCTGTTCTAGGCCTTTCACGTCCGCTGATGGCGGGAATATCCCAAGCTCTAGCTCGAGGATTTATGTGTACTTGCGGTGGTTTTTCTGTGGAATCGGGCCTGGTCGGCTTATGGCCTTTCATTTGGTTTGCATGCCACGTTACCAACGCCTTGTCCAGGCAGCAACCACCCCGCCCGACCGCGCAGCCATTGACCAGCAAATCTCGTTTGATGCGAGTTCAAGCGTCCGCTCCCTCTCACTCCTGCTGTCTGTCTCTCAATGTTTGCGTGTGTGTGTGTGTGTGTGTACATATATAAATTGCCGTATGTATCTGTTGCTTGATTGTCTGTTTGTCTCTGTTTGCGCTTTTTTCTTTTTTAGATCCATATCAACTGCTGAACGCTGCCTCGCACCGATTGGTCGCTCAGGGCTCGGGCGGGCAGATACAGTTATGGCAATTTCTGTTGGAGCTGCTCGCTGATTCGTCGAACGCCAACTGCATCAGCTGGGAGGGCCAATCGGGCGAGTTCCGGCTCATCGATCCGGACGAGGTGGCCAAGCGCTGGGGCGAGCGCAAGGCCAAGCCAAACATGAACTACGACAAGCTGAGCAGAGCTCTGCGGTAAGTCTCTACGAACTAGACCAACAATTCCTGCTGTCTGAGTCATGCCACAAACAAGTTTTCAATTCTATGTGCCATTTGATTTGTTTTTCATCTCTTTTGCAGCTATTACTATGACAAGAATATCATGACCAAGGTGCACGGCAAGCGGTATGCGTACAAATTTGATTTTCATGGCCTGATGGCCGCTTGCCAGGCGCAGGCACAGGGCTGTGATCCGGCCAGCAGCATGATTAGTTCCTATAAGCATCATCATCATCATCATTCGCATCCACATGCCGCCGCTGGCGGTGGCCCACATGCGCTGCCCGCACAGCATCTGCCGCACCACTTGGCGCATCATTCCCATCACGGCCATCATTCGCATGTGCATCCGCATCAGCTGCTGCATCCGCATGCCGCTGCCGCCGCCGCCGCTGCAGCCGCTGGAGAGCTTGCTTCGCCGACTTCGAATTGCTCCAGTTTGGGATTCCCTTCGCCCTCGACAGCCTCGTCGCTGCCCTCACCTGCCCAGGTGTCGTCCGTATTTGCCGGCCCGGGCGGTTATACAAACGTCGCGCCAACGGGCTCCACGGCGGGCCCCAGCCAGTCGTCAGAGCAGGAGCCCAGGGCATCCACAGCCTCCGCCAATGTGACCTATGAGCAGCGAATTTAATTGCAATGGCAAATGGCCAACCCCAATTTGTCAGGGGTTGATTTTTTATGTGGGGCGGGGGTCGAGCTTGCGCAAGTGCCGCCCGCTGCGCACAAGCCGAGCCATCTGCCGTATCTCCATCTCGCTCTGGCCGCCAGGGGTCACACTGTAAAAAGGTCATTTCGCTTAATTCCAGCTACTTTTGGTTTAATTACGTAATTTCTCATATGTGATAAATACATGGAGCAATGCAACCAACAAAAAAACAAAAACAAAAACTTAAGGAAAAAGGAAGCAATACATGTAGAAAGTATTCGGGATCTAACCCGGCCTGACTAATTTGTTACAACGTCTGTTAAATGTCGCTTTTAAGCCCACATACTTTACTTTTAATGCGTGTGTCTATGTACATAGAGCTCTCAACATATTATTTAAATAACTATAATTATAAGTTCATAAACTGGACATGAAAAAAAGGAAAACAAAAAAATTCACAAATAGAAATACACTCTGAGAAAAAAAAAATGCACAACAACTTGTTTAATTTAAAACGGTTAGTTAACAGAATGAATGAATGAGGGTATCTCCTGGGCGGGTACTCTAAATTCGAGCACGGAACGGTATATAAGTATTTCTTATAAATAACCTTTAAATAAGAAGTTTTGTAATGATTTTTTAATTATATTTATAAATTGCTTAAACTTTATTCAAAACAGAAAAAATATAAAGTTTTTTTCTCTGAGTGCTGTAGTACCTGGTATAACAGGATATACATATCTATAAACAAAATCTATTTGAAGGAGATGTTTTTTAGGATCTTAGGCAACATAAACAATGCTCAACACCATGAAGACCAGGCTAAAGGCAACGAAACAAATACGATCCACGGCTGTGGCCAACAGCACCCAGTCGAACTGTAGGGCACGCACTGAAGGCGTGGCAGTGGGATTGATGTCCAGCGGACTGGTCATATCCTCCACACTGTCGTACAGATTCTCAGCCATCTCCTTGAGTGAGCCATTGCTTTGCGTTGCGGGCAGCTCGGCGTCGTTGGTAAAGTGTGAGAGCATGAGACAAGAGCCCAGTTTGCCATTCAACAGACGTTTTACGATTTCCGGCAGGCGACGCTTATGCTGTGCCGTGGCCAGGTAGAGCACCACGACCTCAATAATCGTCGAGATGCTGAGCACCAACAAGCTGGCGCTGTAGAACAAAACTGCAAAGAAGAATTAGTTAAGGAAATTAAAGGGGAATGAAAAACTTCAACTTACCAATGAGCGGCGTATTCCCGCCCAGCACGGGCAGCAGCTGGGCAAAGTACATGAGAAATGAGGCAATCATGAGGATGAGTATGCCATTGAGCATTATCTTCTCGCCCATCTTCGGCGGCAGCCAGAAAGCGGCAAGCGTGAGGAGCACTATGCAAGAGGCCGGCGTAAAGATGATTGCTTTATACATGCTGGAGCGACGCTGAGTCGTAAATATGAACTCTACGTAGCTATAATAGTCCTTGTGCACAAACTCTGTCCGGCCGCTGACAATTTCCCACTCGCTCGACTGCACCAGGTCATCATAGTCGATCACCTTGTTATAGGCCGCATTCAGATTGCTCACCGACCAGGTGCCAATCTTGAGCTTGCATATCTGCTGATCGTACGGCCAGTTGATCATGTTCAGCGCACAGTAGGCCGTGTAGACGGCTGGCGGCACCCACAGGAAGCTGCCATCATTGGACAGGATAACCTGCGTGCTCACAGGATAGTTGCCCTCATCGGCGGCGGCGTTGAAGATCATAATCTGTGGCTTCCACACCTTGTTGTCGGGTATATGCAGCTTGGTAATGTTGTCATATTGCTTAATATTCCATGAACGCTGCTCGTCCATCCAGCGCTGCAATAAGTAGTAGCAATCCATTCGGATTAAGTTGCTGACTAAGCATGCCTTTGTTACAATCTACACTTACCACAGTCAGCCAACAATGGAGCGTGATCTTGCCGTTCAACTCATCGATATCTATGTAGTTCACCGATAGACCAAGGCTTACGTTTGTCGCTTTGCCCTGAATTGTGGGCTGAACGTTTGCATCGTAGTTAACGAAGAGATTCATTTGTAGCCGATCCAGAGTGCTCACATTGGTTGACTTCGTATCGGGGGCATCTAAGTCGCTCGGCGTGCCTGATTAGAAGATTTTAGATAAACGCGTGAAGATATTTATATTTATTGCACTTACAACTGGCGCTTGGCACGGAAACGAGCAGGCACACCAAGAGCAACAACCACAGCAGCCCACGACCGGAAATCAATGTTTTTATCTTGGTCGACATTGTTGTTCCTCAAGTTCACAATGTGCCTGTTTTTTATTTGTTGCTTTTTTTGTAGATCAACAATTCACTTATTCTAATTTTAATGTGAGCTCATCGGTCTCTGGATAACGACTGAGCGTCGAACCGAAAGCCACCAGAGGGTTTCGCACATGGCAGCAGCCTCTGATAAAGCCAACGGCATAGCTGCCACCGAGTTATTCAAGATAACACAAGCGTTGAATTGTGCAGTCAAATGAAAGTATTTGCAGTACATACAGTGGTTAATGGAGCCGCCTATACTAACTATTTGGCAGCTAACATTTTCAAAAATAAAATTTAAGTAGTAACGGTTTATCATTAGATGTGACAGCTGATAATATTGACAGTGCCATTTTGAGCATAACATTCACATAACAGAGACTTGTCAACGTACTTTATTTATCATCCTCTAGGGGAAATTTTAAGTGAGTTGATTCACGAGAAACGCAGCATTAATATTTAATAAAATTAACATTAATATTTTATATACATACAGCTAATTTTAATCAAAATATATACTACCGTGCTTGATTTACCTTTACTGTTTAAGTCGATAAGTGAGCATGTTATCGGCCATCTCTAGCGTTGACGTGTGCGTCGTTTGCAGTTATTGCTGTTGTTGTTGTTGTTGTTGTGTGGCTGCGTGTCACAATTGCTACCCCCCAATCGTGAGCAACAAGGATTTTCAATAGAAATCGTCAAGGGCAACGAAAATATAGAGTTAAACTTAGCTGAGATAAAGTCAGCACAATAGTAGACATGGCGGAGGAAGTCATTGGCAGCGTGAAAAGGGCAATTCGGGGCATATTAGAAAATGTGAATGCAAGTGCAAAGAATGAAACTATTACAAACGAAAAGAAGCCATCCACGCCAGAAGGCATTGCCGTGGCGTATAGCAGCCTGGTCATAATGGCCATGCTGCCCATTATTTTCGGTTCCATACGCTCCGTTAAGCTGCATAAACTGAAAAAGGTGTGTGTGCGCGTACTTGAGCCGCTCTTTTGTTGCATGCTTTCACTCTTTACTTAACTTTCACATGTTTTCCGTAGTCGACAGGCGAGAAGGCAGACACAATGACCAAGAAGGATGCCATGTACTTTCCACTTATCGCATCTGTGGCACTCTTTGGCCTGTACATGTTCTTTCAGATCTTTCAGAAAGTTCACATCAACTTGTTGCTAACTGGCTACTTCTTTGTGCTGGGAGTTATTGCGTTGGCCCACCTGCTCAGCCCAGTTGTCAACTCGTTGATGCCAGCTGCTGTGCCCAAAATACCATTCCACATACACTTCACCAAGGGCGAAGGTAAGCACAAGGAGGACATCATCAACTACAAGTTCTCCACGCACGACATCATCTGCCTAATGATCTCATCGGCCATCGGCGTTTGGTATCTATTGAAGAAGCACTGGATTGCTAACAATATGTTCGGTCTGGCTTTCGCCATCAACGGCGTTGAGATGTTGCATTTGAATAACTTTGTCACTGGTGTTATATTGCTGAGTGGTCTGTTCTTCTACGACATCTTCTGGGTATTTGGTACCAACGTCATGGTCACTGTGGCCAAGAGCTTTGAGGCGCCCATCAAGCTAGTGTTTCCCCAAGACATTCTCGACAATGGCATCAACGCATCGAACTTTGCCATGTTGGGTCTTGGCGATATCGTTATTCCGGGCATCTTTATTGCCCTGCTGCTGCGATTCGATGACAGCAAAAAGCGCAAGACGCGCATCTACTTCTATTCTACGTTAACTGCCTACTTTATGGGTCTCTTGGCTACGATCTTTGTGATGCACGTTTTCAAGCATGCGCAGCCGGCGCTGCTCTACCTAGTGCCCGCCTGCATGGGCACCCCCCTGCTGGTGGCCCTGGTCAGAGGCGAGCTGAAGGTGCTCTTTGCGTAAGTTGTCGCACAATTATCCCGCTAAAGCCATGACCAAAACTGAACTTTTTCTTCTCCATAGCTATGAAGATCATCCTGAGGAAAAGCCGGAAAAGAAAGAGAAAAAGGAGAAAGACGAGAGTGGCAGCAGCAGCAGCAGCAGTAAGAAGAAAGATTCCAAAAAAGCAAAATAATTCATTAAATGAATTCCCTGCTTTTCTTTCCCTCTCTCTTCCCTTTTACAAAAACCGCTTACAAGTCTTCTATTTTTAACGAGTAACAAGTTATAAGCACATCGTAAATTGTATACTTCGCGATTGAGTTTCTATTTTAGCGTCCTTTATTGCAAATTTCCATCTGATAAAAAAGACGATTTGACTATTAAGAACTTAGGATTATTCCTGGACACGGCACAACCACCAATGCGTTCGATTAGGCTTAAACGCTTTGAGATCATAGTTTGCAAATCCTTTTTTTGAACAAAATCAAAAGTCCATAAGTCTATAGAAATGAGTTGTAACAAAATTAAGTACATATAAGAACATTAATAAAATGAAATATTCCAAAACAGCGGTGATAATCCCAAATACAAATTTTCCGTTGCGAGTAATATCGATTATTGGATATCGGTGAGGTCGAGATTTATCACTAACCAGAGATAGTGATGGTTAGTGATTTTATACAGCAGTCGTTGATTTTCATGTAAGTTTACATAAAAATGTATATAAATATATACATATGTATCTACTGACAGTTCATTTATTGAATTAATTGTTATCAATGAAATGAAACTAATATAGAAGCACTAGCCACATTGATAGAAGTGTTCGTTGTGTTGTCTGGTATATTGTGGATTTTTGCTCATTTGCTCATTTGGTCACACCGTTTTTAATGTGTGGTGTATCGATGTATTAATATTTTCTACCATCCCTAATGCAAGCCGAAGCCGTCAAATTGCGCTAATTTTGGGTAAAAATTTTCTAGTTTGGTGGAAAAAACGCAAAGTTGCAAATAGTTTTGGCTGTTTAGGACAGCAAACTTGAATCGAAGGTATGTATGCAAGTTAGAATGTTAAATATTTAACTATTTTAGCATTAATAGTGTGCATATTTTTTGCACAGACGCAAGCAGCGTGTACATCGGAGATAGAAGCAGAAAGACAAAAAGGAGAAACAGCAATACATTTCGCAAAAACGACAAGCAAGAGGTGCAAAGCACACAATGTCCGGAATTGCAATAACACGATTGGGCGAGGAGCGTAAGGCTTGGCGAAAGGATCATCCATTTGGCTTTGTGGCCCGACCGGCTAAAAATCCCGATGGCACATTAAACCTCATGATCTGGGAGTGCGCTATTCCCGGAAAGAAATCGACACCCTGGGAGGGCGGCTTGTACAAGCTGCGCATGATCTTTAAGGATGATTATCCAACCTCTCCACCAAAATGTAAATTTGAACCGCCACTTTTCCATCCCAATGTGTATCCATCGGGTACCGTATGCCTCTCGCTGCTGGACGAGGAGAAAGACTGGCGTCCTGCTATTACAATCAAACAGATTTTGTTGGGCATTCAAGACTTGTTAAACGAGCCAAACATCAAGGATCCTGCCCAAGCGGAGGCATACACCATTTATTGTCAGAATCGATTGGAGTACGAGAAGCGAGTACGTGCACAGGCGCGTGCCATGGCTGCCACTGAATAGAGTGTAATACAGAAGAAGAAGAAGAAGAAAACAGGCACCATCAGAGAATACCGCTACTCTCTAAGAAAGCACACAGACACTTACACAAATCAACGTTAATAATGGGCAGGCAGTCAAGTGATCATCTAACACACACACACACAAACAAACATTTAGGAACGAGGCTTTTTCGTGAATGCCTCTTCTAATTACAAAACATTTTAATATCTCTAAGTTGATTTAAAAATAATAATAATAAAAAAAAAAAAGAATAAATAGTAAAAACAAAAACAAGATGAATTCGGTTTGCACCAATTATAAATTATAAATATATATATGCATATAAATTACTTAAAATTACAATTACATCATGTAGTATCCCTTATTTCACAGCACTGTAATTTTCGCATTATTTGTGTTTCAATAAATTTATATGATATATTTAATAACATCTAAACGTTGTCTCACTAATAATACAATGTAATCAGTCATTCGATTTGATTCCGCAAGGCCAACACAGTCGATGCTGACGTCATCTCTTGCCAACGTGGCAAATATACTTGACCTTTAATGATCGCCGGGAATATCTTAGAAAACAGCTAGCTATAGATTTAGGTTAGTGTTTGGTGTATGGTGTTTGGGTTAACGCTCTAAGGAGGTTGTGGGGTAAAAGGAAATTCTTATGAAATTATCATAGAAAGCAATTAATTTTATTTCTCACCCTGAAAGTAGGCAGAAGAAATTTGATTTCTGTTAGCTTATTGATCATAAGTATATAATTCAGAAAGTCCTTTATTGATTAGAGCATAGTGAATGAAATATTACTTTCCATACAAATTAATATTTTGCATAGACTTTCTGATTTTGAATCAGATTCAAATATAATTTGGCACTACTATTTTCAGATGTAAGTTCTACACAAATTCAGTGAAAAGTTTACTTACTTCAATGATCAGATAAATACAAAGTTTGTATAAAAGTTGAAATAAATGTGTTTTAATATTTCTAGACGTACCGAAATGTGTATAAATGTTTATCAAATATAGAACAATATTTATAAAACTGAAAAAGAATTTCAAAACATATTTATAAATTTACAACAGAAAATTTTCACAATTATTTATGAAAATACAAAAATGGAATTTCGAGGCGTATTTTTTAACAACTGAAAAATTTCCAGAAACATTTATAATATAAAAATGAGAAATTAATAGAGCTGAAAAATAATTTGTTTTCAAATTAGTAGCAGTACAATATATTATAATACCCTTAGAATACAAGTCAGATTTATATTTTGTATATTTTATTTTGAATAAATTAATTACTTTTATTGTCGCACACTCTTAATAAATACATAAAGTACATATACATATACATATATCTTGTCTATATGTATATTTATATATATTTAAATTACACAGTTTTATTTGTTATATAAGCTTGAACGCTGTTGGATTTACAATAATTATTATGCATATTATTGGATCTATTAGGATTATATACCGTTTAACCCAACCTTGGAGAGACTCCATTTAGATTTTTTGGGTAGTTCGAGGAGCATACTCCCTGGATATACTATGATCTATTTCGATATCGAAAAACTTGTAGTTTCTTGCACTTCAATTGCGAATTCTTCTCTAAGTGGTAAGCTTTGGCATGCATTATATGTCATGATTTCTACAGTACAAATATATATACATATATATATATTTGTATATATACATCCATGTCTTTATGTATATCTATATATTGCCTGGATATTATATATTAGGATCTGTCTATCTTCGCAGGGGGGAACAGTTGGAGATTCTCCGGAAATACTTTCGATACTGTGTCGGTGGTTGTGGTGGTGTTGGTGGTTGATGTTTGTGGTTGTGTTGGTGGTTGATGTCTGTGGCTGCGCGGTTGTGTGGTTGGCTCAGAAGCACTTGTAGTACCATTCCAGCTGCTTGCGCTGCACCTCCCACATCAGCTGGCTCTCTCAAATGGCCGCCTCTTGCAGATTCTCCTTGTTCTTCTGCAGCAACAGCAGCTCGCTGGGCGACTGCAGCGGCATGGCGGCGCCACCGACGCCCACCGTGGGACTGGGGCTATCGGTGGCCTCCGGTCGATGCAGCTTGCTCTTGCAGTAGAACTGTTTGTGCGCCAAAAAGGTTTTCACATAGTTGAACGATATGTCGCAGGTGGAGCAGTATTTCTTCATGGCCTCCGCAGCGCTCGGCCCCAGCGGCGAATTGGCCATGGGTGGCGGCAGTGTGGCTGGGGTCAGCTCCATGCCCATGTCCAGTGGCTCGGCTTTGATGTGCGTGTGCGGCGTGCCAATGGGCGAATTGTTGTTATCGTGCACCAGACTCAGCGTGGCCACAGCTGGCTCCAAGGGCTCCGACTTAATGTGGAAACTGAAATGGACAGAGAGGACTCTATGAATTATAGACTCTAAGGTGTTATCAAAAGTGTATAGCCAAGGTTCGTGGGCAGTGCCCAACTGGGTATCACTTGACTATAGGTTTAGGGTATCTCCGAGTCAGGCACTCCCCCACTCTATCCCGACATATGTAGGTCATATGCTTACCTAGCCGCCTCCCGTTCGCCATTCACCAGCGCCACCTCGGGCAGGGCATGGGCATTGGCATCCTGCTCACGGGACTCGGGTGAAATGGAGGGCGAGCTGATTGCCACGTGTGGATGCAACAGTTTCATGTGGCGCAGCTGTAGAGAGAGAGAGAGAGAGAGGGAGAGATGATTATAATTAGAGTTCAGGCTGCCCAGTAGTGTCATCTGTCTGTCAGCAGTACTCACCACATTGCCCTTGTAGGTTGAGGCATAGTTGCAGTGATCGCAGTTGAAGATCTGTGCCGCATGCTGTTCCAGCTGCTCCTGGGCCGCTGTCACGGCGGGCAGGTCCAGGCCCATAGCAGGGGGTGGCGGGGCGGCCGCTGCAGCTGCTGCCGCCGCATCCTCCTCGAAGATGCAGGTCATGTAGTGCTCCTCGTTGACATCGCTGGTCTTCTTATCGAAGTGGGTGCGTATGTGGGTCCTCATGCCGCGCAGCGTGTTGCCCTTGTACTGGCAGATGCTGCAGCGGAATGCCTTCACCGTGCCGTGCATTTCCATGTGCTTGCGGGCCAGCGCAGCGGTGGGGCTGACCACGCCGCACACCGGGCACTTGTTCACGCTGTTCGCCACAGCCGCACTGGCCGGCGCCAGCTGGGGCGTGGCTGGGGGCGTCGGGCATGGCTGGCCGTGATCGTGCAGCGTCTTGCACTTGACGCACTTCTCCTTGGGCAGCGGCAGCTGCGGCGTGGCTGCCTCCGCGGGCGTGGCTGCCGCCCCGCCCTTGGGACAATAGTAGTTCTGGTGCGCGCGCAGATTATCCAGCGAGGTGTACTTGATGCCGCAGGCGGCGCAGATCAGCTGCTGATAGGCCACGGGCGTTGTCTCCAAGGAGGACGCGCCAGCAGGCAAGCCAGGGCCCGTTGCGGCGGGCGGTGTCACTGCGTTCTTGGAGTCACCATCCACGCCCGCGTCCTGGTTGCGGGCGGAGCAGTAGTGCTGCTTATGCGCCAAGTAGTTCTCGTACTTGCAGAAGACTATGTTGCACTCCATGCACTTGGACACGCCCTGCTTCACATAGATCTGCGGCTGGCTGTTGGGCGCATTGGCTGCGACAGTGGCCACAGCCGGAGGAGGGGCGGCGCCGGACTGGACTGGACTGAAGCCCAGTTTGCTGGCCAGCTCGGCGCTGCTGCTGCTGCCCGCCACAGCTGCTGCAGCGGCAGCAGCCAGCTTGAGCGCCAGCTCCGGATTGGTCTTGGCCAGCAGCGATTCGGATAGCGCAAAGTCGCCGGGCAGCATGGAGCGCAACGGCTGCAGATTGTCCAGCAGATGGGGCACGGCCAACGCTGGCGGCGACATGGAGGCAGCGCTGCCCGCACCGGAGCTGCGCGGACTGATCGCACGTCGCTTGGGCGACGGACTCATCGAGGGGCTGCTGGGCAGCGAGGGCGCGCATACAATCTGCTCCGGGGTCACGCTGCCACCGGTTCGGCCGCTGCTCTCCAGGTTCTCCTTGCCGGCGCTGAGCAGCGCCTCCTCCATCAGGCGCTGGCGCTGCAGCAGCGGCGAAATGGGCGAGCGACGTAGGGATAGGTCTAGGGGCGTGGTATCGCTGTGAGGGCGATTACAAGGGGAGGGTAAGTTTGGTTTACTTATGGATTATGTATGGACTTACCGCATGCCACTGGCCTCCTTGCGTTTGGGCTCCGGCGGACTGGTCTTGGACTCCGTCTCCGGGACGTTGCTGGCGCTGGGGCGCTCTGGTTCCGGGGCGGGCATGCTCAGCTGATTGCCAGTAGGCATGGGCGTGCCTGTGGGCGTGGGCGTGGCATTGCCCGCTAGCGCATTGATATTGAGCGCCGTGGCCAGCGGCTTGAGGGCGCCATTGTCAAGGGTGAAGCATGTGGACTCCGGATTGACAATGCCCGACGTGGAGGTGGTGCTGCGAATGGAATGAAGAATGAAAGCGGATAAGATAAGCTTTTAAGTTAAGCAGTTGCAAATTGAAGATTAGGTTAAGGGGATAACTAACGAAGTCTCCATTTCAGTCCAGGCTATACTCACAGTGGTCCGGGTATGAGGCTGGCGGCGCGTATTAGCGAGCAGGGCACTATGATGATGGGATTGGTGGGCAGTGCCAGGAAGGGTTGCGGCGGTGCCACCTGCAGCGTGGCGGCAGCTGCAGCGGCGGCCGCCGCAGCCGCCGCAGCAGCGACCATTGCAGGAGTCGGCGTCTTGTTGCGCGTCTGCGGACTGTGGGCCCCACTGTGCTTAGCTCCTGCGGCCGCAACTGCTGCCGCGGATCCTCCGGTGTTGCTGCTGGCGTTCGCCTCCGGCTTGGGCGTCAGCTGGCCATCGCTGCGCCGGGAGCTGCAGTAGTGCTGCTTGTGGGCGCGATAGGTCTTGATGTTGTTGAAGCGGATATCACAGTCGCTGCAGTAGCGATCGATTTGCTGCGAAAGGGACGAGGGAGGCGAGTTAGTTACATTTGGGCTGGGCGCTGACCTGCTCGTCAACCAACTCACTTGACTAGAGCTCTCCTCGAGCGCACTGGCCGCAGCGGCCGCGGCGGCGGCGGCAGCCACCACGCCGTTGGCCGCCAGTCCGGAGAGGCTGTTCAGGGTGGGCGCGGCGGGCGAGGTCTGATGCATACGCATGTGCCGGTTGAGGGAGACCTTCTTGTCGGCGCTGTAGGAGCACTGCGTGCAGGCGTACTGCTTGCCCGTGCGCGCCACCTTGGCGGGTGGCTCCGAGCCGGAGCTGCCGCCGCTGGAGCTGCTGTTGGCACTCGGATTGGCGCCGCCGCCGCCAGCTGCGGCTGTGGCCTTGTCCACGGCGGCCGACTCCTCGTCGGCATCCTTGTTGCGATGCGAGCAGTAGTAGGCCTGGTGCGCCTCCAGCGTCGAGGGCGAGCTGAAGGCTATGCCGCAGGGCAGGCACATAAAGCGCGCCGGCTTGAGCAGCGGCTCCACCAGACTGCTGGGATCGGGCAAGCTCTGCTGCTGCTGTTGCTGCTGCTCGGACTTGGCCAGCTGTGGCGGCGGACCGAGCAAACGTGGCTCAAGATTGAGCTCCTTGGCATCGGGTTTCAGAGCCGGATCGGAAGCGAGTAGCGCATTGAGACGCAGCTTGGGGAGCACCAGCGGCGGCGTGGGCGTTGGCGGCGGACTGGGCGTGGCGGCCACAGAAGGCGGAGTTGCCGGCGAATCGGCACGCTCCAGCTTGGGCAACAGCTCAGGAGGTGTGGGACTACGCGGCGGAGTCGTCGAGCTGTCGGCCACATCCTGCTGTTGCGCACTGGCCTCCTGTGCCGCTGCCTGCTCCTCCTCGACCATTTCCTGATCCATGTCGGTCTCCTCCAGCTGCTCAGATGCGTTGCTAGCTTGCTGCTCCAGCTGCTCGTCCTCGGGCAGCTCGTCCAGCTGTTGCTGCTGCTTCTCCTCGCTCAATTCATG